ATGTCTAATATAAATCGCGTGAAAAAATTAAAATAAAAAGAAATATAAAATATAGCAATGGAAATTGAAAAAAATGAGAAATAAAAAAAGTTATTTATTTCGTAAATAAGAATCCTTAATAGATAAATATCGTATTTTTCTATTAATTGCATTGCATATGTTTTTGTTTTTTCTTACATCCAGTTTTATTGTTCCTATTAAAAGAAAAGAAAAATATTTACAACAAATGAATTGTTATTAAAAATAGATATTAAAAACATTGGAAATATTTACGTCAAGATACAATTGCAAAACTTATATTATATATATGATTTTTATCCATTCATATTATAATTTTCCATGATTTTTATTGAAAAGTATTATACAATAAAATAACATTGCCTGTTTTTTATACGTAGTATGTTCACATATTATTATATATATAATATTTAATTATATAATACTAATTATATAATACTAATTATATAATACTATTTAATTTAGTTATTCCTAAAAATATTAAATTTTTTATAGCACGAGTATTAAAAGTATAAATAGTTATATCGAAGTCAAGAAAATAAAAATTAAGATGTATCAGAAGTGTCTAAATACTAAATTTTTGAAATCTATTTAAATAAAATAAATATCAGTTTTCATAATAATAAGTAATAAATTTTAAGTAAACCTTATTTTAAAAGTAGTAAAATCGATCATGTTGATATCATTCATTTGTTATTATATTCAAGACATATTTCAAATGTTTTCCTTGACATGATTTCACAATTTTAAAACATTCTTAATAGAATTATTCTCAGGGCTATAAATCAGTGATGTAATAAGCGTAAACAGCTTACATTAACTATTTCTTTATTTATAGATAAAGTATACTATTTGATTGTATTGAATTTAAATATTTTTATTTAGATAACATAACAGGCAATATAGTATGGTATAAATATTTTCTTATGTAGTAAAAATCTTCGTTTTTAAAGGAATTATGTTTATAAATTTTCATCTTTTCAATTAATTAATTAATTAATATTTTATTCATTTATAATGACTTTCTTATATACTATTTATATTACATAATTTTTATTAATTAAAACATCTCTTTTTATTCACGAAATTTATTTCTGAAACTGAATCATTATATTTACAGTAATTAATTATATCATTTGATTAAATCATTATAAAAAGTTTGTAATTTTATTCGTAAAATTGAATAATCAATAAACATAAACAATGTGCTCATTTATTTAAAATAATAATTTGTTACAGATATATATAATATACTATTATATACTATTTATATTACATAATTTTTATTAATTAAAACATCTCTTTTTATTCACGAAATTTATTTCTGAAACTGAATCATTATATTTACAGTAATTAATTATATCATTTGATTAAATCATTATAGGAAGTTTGTAATTTTATTCGTGAAATTGAATAATCAATAGACATAAACAATGTGCTCATTTATTTAAAAATAATTTGTTACAGATATATATATATATAATAGACGTTTTTTACTATTTTTTATAGAATTAAGAATGTGAATATTTTCGTTGTACATGTTTAAATGTTTAAACTTTTCTGGTTAAACGAACGTCATTACATACGTGTTTACCTTCGCGTATAGATAAGATCTGTCTACCATCGATTTAATTATGCATTTACATACATACACGCATTGGTTTTTAGAGCGTAACGAAATTAGATATTCGATTTTGAACCGTCATGACTTGCAACATAGTTGCATCGAAAAAACAGGGTATGTATGCGTCATGAATAATTTACATTAATTTTAAATTTCATAAAAGCATCGATAGCCCTCAGAAATTCTATTTTAAATAATTACATGATGTAATTCATTCGTAATTAAATTACCTTTATTATTTTTGTTATTAAATACATTTCACTATCAAATGAAATTTTCACTTGAATATAATTCGTATATCTACGTGCATTAGTTTAATTACCTAACTATATATAAAAATGATTAATGATTAAAGCATTAACTGTATAATATTCATACACAGAATATTTACTTGATTTACAAGATTTTTACATAAATTTCACTGATTCAGCAAAAGAAATACATTACTATAGTAAAGCTCAGTATAGTAACACTGCCAATCTTCTATGACTAATACGGATTAAAATGTGAAAGGCACAAAGGTTTCGAATGGGAGTGTTCAAAAAAAAGATACGGACGTAAATATGTAAACTTGAAGTAAATGAACTAGTTTAAGTAAATCAATGCCACAGTGAAATTATTTTTCGACGAAAAATTACTCGTATTAATTATATTTTGCTTCTAACGAATTATTTCAATTATATATACTAAATTGTATAAAGAAGCCAATTTAAAATATAATATTTGGTATGATAAAAATGAAGAAATAAATCTTTTTAAATATCATTGAGAAAAATGAAAATCAAGTTGATATCAGCACATATCAAAGAAAAAGGGAACAATACATAAAAAATAAAATAAAAATTGATTTTGTCGTTCTCATTTAAATAAATCAAAATCAAATGGAATTTCAGTGAAACAATTAATTATTAATTATTAAAATATAAAAAAAGTATTTAAATATTTAGTTTGAATTTATTAGTTTTTACATAGTTTTTATGAATGAAGTATTTTAGAATATGAAAGCAAGATGCTTGGAGGAACACAAATATGAAAAATAAATAAAAAGAATAATAAGGTTAAATATTTGTTAACTGTACTTCATAATTATTGATAATATAATAACTGTTGATACTTGTAACTTGTAATTTTCGAAATTATACATTTTTTTATATATATTTGGTAATATTATACCAATATACTTATAACTACTTGCATTAATATTTAAACTGTTACAAATTCATAAAATAAAATCGTGCAATAATAAACCTGCATTCATTTTGTTTGTAAAATTTTTTTTACATCACATAGCAAGTAAGAAAATGAAAATACTTTTCTCCTCGAAAATGTTATAAATTGTTTTTTCATGACTGAATCTCAGACAATAGATCTGAAGATCGAATCATTTTTATAATACCTTAAAACTTGATGTATGAACTTTCTCCCCCAGTTTATTGAATTTTTAAGGGTCAGTGTAAAGAGGAGGAGGACTTTAAACTCAAAACTATTGTAGATTCAGTCATGAAAAATTTTTTACTATGATAATTTATAACATTTTTAAGAAGAAAAATACCTTCACTTTCTCATCTGCTATATCTTGGGAAAAAATGAATTAATTACGTATTTTGAAAGTAGAGGTTTCAAGCTTTGAAATGAATCCAGGTTTATAGTACAATTTTTTGTTTTATATAATATATAAACTGTAACAGTTTAAATATTTAGTATCTAAGCATATGATATGAGTAATGGTATGTATATTTCAACTAAAAATGACAAATGAAACATGGAAACATAATTTAACAATTAACTACTAGATTTTCCTAGATTTTCGACTATTTTGAATATCCAAAATTTCTATATTTTTTTGTGTTGTACAAAATATTATTTGCATTGTACGATGTATTATTAAGTACTTAAGTCAGGTTCTGTTATATTTATAAATTATGCGGGAAAAATTTTCTAAGCTTCCATTCAAGCTGCATGAAATTTTCTTGTTGCAGATTGAAACTACTGAATCAAAGATGAAGGAACTCTTTCTATTATTGGTGTATGTTTGTTTGGCACAATGCGCTTCAGCAAAGAAACAAACCCGCGATCAACAAGCTGCAGGTTATGAATTCGAATACATTCAAGAACCAGCATTGTCGGAGCCTTTGTTGGCTTCAGCTCCGCTTGCTCATGGTCGTGAACCTCCTCAGCCAGGTTTCAGCGTTGGTGGTCCTTTAGCTAGTATCGCGAAAGGCGCAGCAGAACAGGCTCATACGCAACTAGGTAATCAAGAATCTGCGGCTGGACAAGCTGCATATGTCGCGAAGAATACTTTAGCGCAAGCTGCTGCGCAATCGGCAGCTACCGCGGCTGCGGCCCTTGCTGGCAAACAGATCGTAGTTCAAGGACTGGAGCAACAGTCGAGAGATGCCCATGTGGCGGTAGATGGTGAAAAGCTACAGTTGCAGCAAGCTGAACGTGCGGCGAATGCAGCAAGGACTACGGCTAAACAAGCTATTCATCAGTTGCAAGTAGCTACAGCAGCCTTGAACGCGGCTCAGGCGACGGCTGATCGTGCGGCGCAAGCTGCTGCGGAAGCTGCAGCCGAATTGGCTGCGCAAACAACTATGCTCGGTCAAGCAAAGGCGAAAGCAGAATCAGTCGACGAACAGCTTTCCGCCGCCCGTCTCGACTATGAAACCACTCAAACAGCCGCTGAGAAAGCTGCCACTGCAGCAGCCGCCGCACAAAACAATGCCGCAGCCGCCGCCGCACACGTTGCCGATACTGCTGCTGCTTCTGCACTTTTAACTCACGAACCAGTTAGTCCTTCGCCACTGCCGAAACTTCCTCCACAACATACTGCTCCGCGTGAACATGCTGTTCTCGAGCCTGCAGATTACCAAGAACCGAGAGCTCTTCTCCTGTCTGGTGCACTTCATCAATCAGCTGCTCTTCGCCCGTCTTCTACGCTTCTTCGTATTCCTTCCAGATTCCACGAAACTGCCGCACTTCACGAAGCCGATGATCTTCGTATACCAGCTGCTCCTCAGGATGCTCTCCCTCTTCGTGCATCCGCATTGTTTCACGAAACTGGCCCCGCACTTCAATCTCCAAATGGTCTTCATCGTTCAGAGCTACTTAGCTTAGCAAATGCTTTACCCTCTGATAGTTATGATATGAAAAGTTATCGATACTAGATTCCTTTGAATTGCACATTTTAGTGGAATCGAATACTTGTTGCTGTCTTTATTCAGGAATAACAAAATATTATGTTCCATATGTCAGACTGTGCAATAAAATTTTGTTGAGATCACATCTGTCTAATCTCTTTATTCTATTCTTTCTGAATTCCTATCTAGCCTGAACCTGTGGCTTCTTTGCTTTTTCATCAAACTCGTATAAATGTTACTATATAAATATATATAAATTTATATGTAAATGTTACTAATATGTACAAATGTTACTAAAATTATTAATTTATTGAAAATTTAATGCGATAACATGTTAATTGTCAACACATTCGCGAAATTTTTTTGCAAATTTTTTTGCTTTCTTAATACTCATTGCCACAAATTTCTGACGTCAAAGTAGGGACAAAAATTAGAAAATTTGTTTTGAAATATTAGCCTTGTAACGATCTGTTGTTTGGAATGAAGAAGTTTTTCTATTAAAGAATATGGAAAAAAAGCAAAAGAATAAAATATTTTGAAATTATATTCTCGGCTTCTGTAAATAAATAGGTATAGAATTTGAAAAGTGAATTCACGTCAGCGGCCGCGAAAGTGTTAATAATTAAAATGTTATCACATTAAATAATTGTTTTTTTTTTTTAAATAAAATATTCCATAGTTTTAAGAATTTTAGAAAAGTAACGTTCTTTATTATCTTACTTTTTAAACTTAAAGATGTATAAAACTAAAAATAAAGGATTAATTTAAAATAAAATTGAACTTTTCATACGCGTCTTATCAACAAATTATATAACGTTTTCCTTTTTTGATTTATTATTACATTTTATCTATAGATATTATATAAATATCTATTTTTCAATTCTATTCTTTGTTTTTATTTTTATTAACAATATTAATGATAATACAATATTGTAACATGAAAATTGGTGTAAAATTGAAAAATCACATTTCTTTTTCTCATATTATATAAATTTATTTGTGTAATTTTATGTTTACATAATTGAAGAATTACTTCCATCGAAAGTAAATCACAAAGAAAAATGTAAAAATAATTTAGAAATGTCTACCGTAAATATCTTAGATATTTAATAATCATTTTAGCGGTTCAACAGTTAAGTGTATACCTCCTTTTGCCATTAATACAAGGGATCCTTCTTCATAGTCCAAAGTGGATGACATACCCGGTGCAAGTTTGAATTTATTTTTCAATAAAGAACTTATTATAGCATATTTTGTTTGTACAAGGCCAAATCTCATTCCTAAAAAAAAAAAACAAATAATGCTGCGGTTTATTTTTGAATAAGTTATTTTAATATTATTATTTATTTGTTAACGAACAAATATGAAATTTTTATATAACATTTAATAATATGAAAGAGAAAATCAAGAAATATTTGTAAAAATGGAATTGTTTTAATTTGTTGAGATATGATTTCTTGTCGTAATTATAAATTAAGTAGTATACTTATTTAAGGAATTATTTAGAGAAGCATACATACCAATGCATATTCTTGGTCCTTCGCCAAATGGTAGATATGTATAAGTATGTCTAGTCTTTATGTTTTCTTCAGAGAATCGTTCTGGATCAAATTTATCCGGATCAGGATATATGTTAGAATCTCGTTGAATACCGAAAACGGGTATTGCTATATCAGTTCCCTTAGGTATGACAAAGTCTGTTCCGTTTAATTTTATTTCCTTTGTACAAATACGGTTTAGTACAACAAGCGGTGGGTATTTCCGCAAAGTTTCTGAAATAAATTTGATTTTTCAAAAATTAAGCATCTTAAATATTTCAGTAGCATGCATTCACATCTTAGAGCTAAAATATTTATGAACAAAGTTATAACAATATAAAAGATTATAGTTGATCGCTACAATTCTGGTATTTTTATAAATTATATTGTAAAATGTTCTATCATATGAAAGAATAACAAATATCCCAATCGCGATTATAAGTTTTAATTTCAATTATAAAGGAAGACCAAATGATTGTAAATATTGCTTTTAAAGAACTTTAAATATCATCATTAATTTTCCTTTCTAATTTTATTTGAATATACATCATATTCATTTGCCACAATATCACAAGAAGAAATTGTTAATAAAAATTGTTGAAAAATGAAATTATGATTACAGATCACATACAAGATTAAATTATTATTTGATAATACAAATTATTATATTATATCATGTGATAATAGAAATGAAATTCTATTATACATATATCTATGAATGACATCTGTATATCTATTACCAACGTACTATAACATTATATATATTAATAACATACATAACAACATATTATAATCTTCAAAATTATTTTATAATTATATAAAATATATTATCTCTTTCCGACGAAAATGACACAACTCGAAAAAACGTGATTTTCAACTTATTAAAAATATAAAAATATTGCAGAAACAACAATTATGAAAATTAATCTCATTGATCTTTATAGTTTAGCTGGTTAAAAGGAATTATGTTCTGTATGCAATTATGAATTTTATCTTCATTATCATTACGAACAAATGCATATTGAGATAAAAAGTGTATTACTTTGGAGTGCGTTGTTTCTTTAATTAACAAAATAATATCTAATTTTAAAACTAGACTTTTTCTTGTCCTGAAAAATATACTTTTTCAAGTTGTGTCACTCTTTCATTTTCTAATTTTATTTGAGCAATTTATTTAAAATAATTACTTTCTTTGCGTTTGCATCATAAATTTTACTACTTACCCGTATGTTAAGTCAATTTTATATCATATAATGTTACGACATCTCAGAACATCTCAGAAATTTTTTTTTCTTCAATTAACTCAATCTCGTTTTAATCTTACAAACAGTTGTAATATAGTTGTATACATACCGGAGATTACTTTATGAAGATAAGTCATATCATTTACAGCATCATATGTTAAATCACCATGTTTCTCAATTTGTGTTTGAATTTCTTCACGTACTTTATTTTGCATATCTTGATGCTGCGCTAATTCATATAGACAGAATGTTGCTGTGGTTGAGGATGTCTCAAAACCAGCTAAATAAAAAACATAAGCTTGTGCCGCAGCTTCCGTCATCGTTAATTTATTTTCTGGTTGTATATAAAAAGTGATGGTTTTGTATTATCATTCGTTCTTAATATCGAAATATTTAATTAAAAATGAAAGGTAATAATTACTTGCAACATTTGAGATATTTGAACTATCATCCACTTCCACATATCCATTCCTCATTAATTGCATCAATAAATTCAAAAAATCTTTCCTTTCGACATTATTTGCTTCTCTATATTCTACAGTTTCTTTGAATGTTTTCATGAAAAAGTTTGTAATACCTCTTTCAGTATATGGCATCGAAAAAAGATTAAAGATTTGTGGAGCCCATATAACAAGGGCATTCCACAAAGGTTTCGGATCAAATACTTTTTTCCCCCAGTAACGAAATTCATTGTCTGGGTTTTTAAAGCTGTTGCACGATATCCCAAATGCCGCTGACATAATAATATCGACGGAATATCTGAAAAAAAATAACGATATTGAAACAAAAGATTTGAAAATATATAATATACATATAAACACGGAATGGAATCTCTTTCATAGGATATAATATAATTTAATATTATATTCTAAATTATCATCATTATAACTAATTATTACAACTAAATTATTATATTCAATGTTTAAAATATTTATAACAAGAATGTTTGCCAAAGGATTGCCGAAAATATTCTTTTTTGTAATTTTTTCTTCATATTTAAATTATTTAATTTCAGATGTTCTGAAGTTTATAGCATTTGTAATATTGTTTGTTTCCAAATTAT